CTGAAAGGCGCCTCGGATCATGCAACGAACAGCGACGTTGCATTTGCATCGATAACACCCGGAAACCACGACCACCACATGGAATCCCTTTTTCTCGTTTTGGTAACCGTAACCTTACACGGATGCTGCTACTGCTGTACCCTACCTTTCCTTTAAATTTAATCGCATCACCAGCGAGTTTGACACCGGAGAAAATTCGACTCTGCCGCGCCGCTGTTCACGGAAAACCTCTGGAGAAAAGTCGAGCGGAGAAACGGAGCGAACGGAAAAATTGCGAGGGAGCGTTTACAATTTCAGGATCGAGAAACTTTTACCCTGCGGGAAATTTAGGCCCTAACGTGCGCGTTTCCTCCACGATTGAAATTCGTCGAACTGCGAGAACGTGACCGCGATTTTTTCCTTCAATTTATCAAAGTCAATGCCCCGTGGAATATTCGAAGCGAATTTCCCGATTATCAATCTTATCGGGACGGAAATTTACGAGTGGAAGTTTATCGAGCCCGAAATTAGCGACAGCAGGGAAAACGATCCGATTTCGTGTCCGTTGCAGTTGTTTTCGATCGGTAGCTGTTTTGTACCGTTCGAACAACGTGTTCGCATGGCGGAGGATAACGATGGTAGCGTGTGGAAGGCGAGGGAGAGACAACCGGTCGCGGGGTCCGGGACACGCTTTCGATGTAACGGAAGTCGGTAATCGTTTTGCGGAAAGTCGTTTCCCAGCTGTCCGGGACGTCTCCTTTTCGTGCGTTTTCCAACAACACGCGAGCGTGTTTGCACGCGTTCCACATCCGTTCCGACATATTTTTCCTCTAACTATAATCGCTCGAAACCCTTCTCTTCTTTTTTTTTTTCAAAAGCGGTCGTTAAAAAAATCAGCAGAAAAAGGAACTACCAGTACGTAACAAGTGTACTTGGTAAATTACATATCGCTATGAATGAAATTGCAACTTGTTACCGTTTCATTTGCACATTCCCACGAATACTTGAGACGATCGCTTGAAATCGCGAATACGGCCAATAATTTGCGTAAAGTCTCTTGCGTTCTTTTTATTTAGATTACATACAACTCGCAATCTAGAGATCCACGGTTCAAATCCTTGGTTCCCAACATTTCTTTTTTTTTTTTTAATGATAATTTGTCTCTTTTTGAATAACTATTACATAAAAATTATCATTAAAAAAAAAAAAAAAAAATTTTTGGGAACCAAGGATTTGAACTTAGAACCTTCAAATTGCGAGTCATGGTTCCGCTCAGTAGTTAAACACATGACTCACAATCTTAAAGGTCCTCGGTTCGAATCCTTGGTTCCCATTTCTTTTTTTTTTCTTTTTTTTTTTTTATGATAATTTCTCTTTTAAAATAATTAAAATTCTATATAATTCTAAACTAAAATTCCATATTCTATTTTGGGACCTAGAGAGCCCTAACAATTTTTACCGAAGGATGGTCTGCCGCAGCACTGTGTAAATGAGCTTTTTTAATTTATAAATTTATAAAATTTTTTGAGAGATCCGCCCTGTCAGTTTTATAACGAATCGAAATAGGAAATGTCGAAACTGCCGGAGGCGTGTTGTGTCGGTGGTTCGTATAGAAGGGAGCTAGGAAATTTTTCCAAGTAAAAAAGTTGCGACTGCAGGGAGGTTGTAAATGTTGTTAGAGGGCAGAGAGCGTCGCGTCGCGTTCCGTTGTGTCGCGTCGGTTTCGAAGGGCCTCGGGGCCTGGGTAATGACAAGTCAGAGAGACAGAACTGTAATTTCAGGTTGGAAAAGGGGACTCTTACCGCGCTCTGCCTCCTCGAGTATCGTCCGTTCGCAGAACCGCAGAACGCGTTCCAAGACGATTTTCGAAGAGGGAGTATGTAATTCCTAGGATGGTTAAGGCTGTTCGAAGCAGCCCGCCAAATTGACGACTGGCCGGTTCGTCTGATTACGGTTCTCGAAGAACGCTGAATACAAACACGAATACCCAGATCATTCTTTTGCTCGATTTAAGAATCACGGGGTCCGTTTTAACATATACACCGGATGCATCTTCGCAACCCACATCTTTTCGCCAATTCTTCCTTCGGCTATTCCCAACCGATCTTTTCTTACCTTCTCCCCCTTTTATTATATCTCCTAATCGAATCGTTTGAACGAAACGAGGAAACTACTCATCGAATTCCACAGCTTCTTTACCGTAGATCACGTTTTATACCGATAGTACTCGCGTCATTCTTGTAAACGATGAAAATAATTCCGTTTACGCGTATAAATAGCCGATGACAATGGCAAGACGAATGGAACACGTCGCATCAATGCAATTCCCTTTCACTTCTAAACGATCGAAACAATTATACAACGAATTCTCTACATTTCTGATTCGATACCCTCTCTATCCAACGACTTTACAACAAATCACTATGGAACGCAACCGCCTTTTTACAAACTCCAGACGTTAAATATTAAATAGTTCCCGTACGTGTTCCTGGTACTCGAAAGTATAATTTACGCGTTCCACGTGTCCTTTGTTCCGTGCATGAATTCGACCGCTAATAAAAAGCGTCACTGAAATGTTCGCGCATCGACGAGTTCGCCCTTTGTTCTCGTCGACCACCGGTGCCTTGTTCTCGGAATCGTCATCGACGCGATGCACGCCACGCCGGAAGAAAGAGGGCACAAATCGGCCGCGGTGGAATTTAAATAGCGGGGAAAAAAGAGAAAGAAGAAAATAAACGGGAAGTCATCTCGAAAGGTTTTCTCGTCATTCAGGAACAGAGCGTATCGCGATAAGATCGGAATCGGTTAGGAAAACCCGACAGGTAAAGATCCAGGTATGTAGGTAGCTATGGGAATATTTGGAAACTGGTATCGAACGACTGTTTGTGCAAGGTGCAATGCCGCGGCACGCTTGCGAGGTAAAGAAACGGAACGGGCCGATTTGCTCAGGAAACCTAATCGAGTCTATCCGTCTTTTCGAATTAACGACACGACATCGATGGGAGGCCGGTAGAGTCGGACGACCCACGCACGAACATCCGCATAATTTCGTGCGCGTTCATCGCCGACGAGCGGAGCGGCGCGGCGTGCTTTAGATGGACACGCTCGATAGAGACGTAACAGGTGTGGACGGGACGGGACGGGACGGGACGGGACGGGACGAGTTCATGGCACACGTCCGTTACCATGGGACTTTTCGAGAACCCACTTCATTTTTTCTCTTTCTTTTCCCTCTTTTCGTACGAAAAGCGAACGCGTGGAACAAATATACCGTTTGACACCTGAAGAAGCACCGTCGAGGGCGCACAATGGGAACTCGGTAAGGTCCCACTTTGTCCCAAGAATAATAAGGTTCCCGGTGCGGAAGGGATTCGGCAAATCGGCCCCGGTCAGCCCCTTCGAGAACGTTTCTCGGAAACGTTTCTTTGTTGCTTCAGCTCGTGGGCCTCGGTTCAGGGCTCGGTTCTCGCGGCTTACCGAGGGACAGTCGAACCGTCTCAAACTGCGACCCCCTACAGCGATTTCCATCTCGCACTTCGTACCGTGCTTCTAGATTTATCGCGGAATAAACAAGCGTTTCGTGGAAACGCGTTATTACCCGAGCGAACGCCTTCACTCGGTTCGCCCTCCGCTTCACTTCAGCCAGAGCCTTTCTTCCTCGTTTTTACGAATAATCGACCAACAATCGGCTCGTTTGCCACGCTTCGACGACCCTAGTTTTTCTCGGAAACCTGTTACACTCTCTGTCAGACCGAACACCGTTTCCACAGAGAATATAACGCGGACGCGTCTCGTCGCTACACCTATCGGACCTTCTTACCAGTCGACATTCTTTTCTTTTACAAGAAAACAAAATAATTCGCATGCTCAAAGTCAATTCCATGATAGCAACGAACTATGAAAAACTTAATAATTATAATTGTCGACTATCTATTGCGCTGCGCTTCGTCGTGTACTTCTCATTGTCTCACATTTATGTACCTTCATATTCTGTACTTATGTTTTCCTAATGTAATGTTTTCAGCAATATTGTACTATGTATGTACATACATACACCTTGTACCTTATATGCGCGAAGGTTGTTCCAATTGAGTTTAGGAAGATGTCTATTGAATCACAACGGTTCACAATTTTTTTATTTATTTTACTAAATGGGAATAAACCCTTTAATACAAATTGTTATTAATATTATTATTATTTTGTTAAAATTCGTATTAAAGGGTTTATTCCCATTTAGTAAAATAAATAAAAAAATTCTGAACCGTTGTAATTCAATAGACATCTTCCTAAACTCAATTGGAATTACTAGAAGCAAACTTTGAACCCACTTTCAGCAACCATTAGTCACTCTCCAACACCTAAATTCCAGCACATACTTTATATCGCACTATTATTTTTCTAGTATTATATCATTACGCTATTATGTACATATTTTGTTTTTCTTTTTTCTCATACTTTTCTGTATATTCTACCAGCTTCGCACAGATCAAACGTGTCCATACAAAACTTATAAAAAGGGCCATGCCCGTATATTTTAATAAATAAATAAATAATAATGTATTTATTATAAGACAGGGAATATTGCACAATGTAAACAAATTCGCGGAATCGGATCATCAAATTGGTTGGAAATCGTGAGTCAGGCGATCGAAATGAAAACAGAAAAAATTCCGGCGGCGAGACTACGCGTTGTCTCTCGCCGACGCGACGTCAAGCTCGAAAATGGAAATAGGCCGTATGGCATGGAGTAACGGAGTAAACGTATTAATTATATACTCGAATCGAGCAGACGCGTCGCGTCGTTTAACCTTCGTTCGTCTTTCGAAACAAATGCACGTTCTAACGCGTATTTTACATCCGACTATGTCTATCTTCCGCCGCTTCCTTCTCCTTTTCTAACTAACGAACCATCTGTTCTTACTCGTCGACTCCGGAATCCGGCAAGGAAAAAAGAAAACGAACGTTTCTTGGACGAGCGAAGGTTACGCTGCGAAACGAGAGAAAAAGAAACTGTCACTCACCATTCGATGCTCCTGTATCCTCGTAGACAGCAATGGAGGGCTTTGAACGCACCGATGTTTCCGTACTCGGTCGTCACCACTTCCTTCGTGAACCTCAAGCCGCCAGGTAGATTGTCGAATTTGTGAATCGAACAATAGTCCTTCAGTTCGTTCGCTCGACAGATCGCAGTCATCACGGACAGAACGATCAGCAGGCTATATTCCGTCGGTGTCATTTTCAATATTCGCGACACGATACCGAAGTAATCACCAAGTTCGATGAGAACGCTTCACAGTCCGCACTTTTCGAACGAAAGAACCGCCATGACCGGATCCACGAGAAGGTTATGTCGCCACGGTTCGCGGCAGCTTTTTCCACGAAAGAGAGAAACGATCTTTCCCTCGCCCGGTCGGCGCTGAGTTAACCTTCAAAGAGGTACACGAAGACTCCCGTTCGAGTACGAACGGGTAAGCTTAACCGATCCACTCTGATATTTGTCGTCAAACAGAAACTCTTCGTCCTGCTTGGGAGTCTGCGTGTTTACTCGGGATTTCAAATACCACTCGTCGCGCTCGTCTTTCTCGTGTCAACCGATAAACCAACCGCTTAACCGTTCAGTCACCTTCCACAAAAGTCATTCTCTTCTCGCGATCTCTCTTCGACGAACTTTGCCACCACTCCGAACGGACGCTAACAGATTTCGAGAAAAATCATAGACGTGTCCGAACGCGTTTTCTCGTTACACCGTTTACGTTACTCGCAAGGCATCGTGGGACTACGGTGTGTTTTCAAAAGCGTCGCGTTGTTGCGTCATCGACCGACACCATCACGATGTTACGGTCGAAAAAGCAATTAAAGTTATCGCGGATGGTTTCTCCGATGAGAAAAATAAGCACCAACAGCTAGGAAAACAGTGATAATAAATTCGTAACTGTACATTCACCAAAAACTGACGTTTCACGTACGCGCGATACAGACAGTACGAAGGTCGGCGGCTTACTGTCGGCCCATCGCTCCGAAAACCTCCGTAGGCCGCCGATTTAAAACGAACCGCCTGTTGCCTCGTGTTCGCTCGGTCGCCCTCGGCCATCTTCGGTCTTTCTCGGCGGGATACCTACACGCCGCGCCGGTACGGTCGCACGAATCTGTGACTTGTCGTTCTCCCGTCAAAGTTATACTTAATCGTCTTCTTTTTCTTCAGTTTTTCTTTTAATTCTTCGTACGTGGTACAAGAGACGACGATTTGCGACTCAAGTGTTACGTTAATATCGAGTACAGTTGTTTGCAAGCTGATGGTGAATAGGAATCGAAATCGATCAACTGTCAAGGAAGGTAAGGGTTATAGAAAATTTTGAGCGTGGCTCTTTCTTACTGTCTGTAATCGGAAAATGGATAATTTAGTTTATTTTCGATAGTTATATATTTATTATTGATTCATAACGGGGAAAGTTGAATTGCATTGAGAATTGGTAAAAGTAACGACGATTAACTTTCAAAACAGAGTAACGGCCAACTATTCTGTACAAACTATACTTACAATTAGAAAAAGAAACATTTCTCTATTTACCGATGACATCGGTATTCTTTTGACATAGCTTATTCTACTTTATGATTTATAAAATTTCAAAATTAACTTGAAACCACGTTCGTCGAGTACGGTTTGAGGTTACAGTTAGTCAGCCATTAATCACGTTGAATTCAAGATGGCGGCTCTTCGAATTTTTGATAGCGCAGTCGTCGTAAAAAGGTAAGTTCAATGATCTTTTATCGATCTCATCGATTTTCTTCGCTGAAACAACTATTTTTAAGAAAAAAGTATGTAGTTGAGAAAACTAAGGGACTAGTTAAACGACGAGTTCTCGCGTGTATTTGTTTTGCTTTTACTCCTCGTTTAAGGGTAAACGATTCGTGCGGCGGTTATGTGTGTTCACGAAGAAAAACAAATAACCAAGGAATATACGTATTTTTCGACATAACATAACGAGATACATACTTGGGAAGATGCATCAACCAAGCCGGCACGTGATCAGAGTAATCAGGATACGTATTCGGTTTCGAAAAAACTTTGATTAAAGCGTACGACGCTTTCTGCGAACTCGATAAACTTCGAATTCATGTACATAAGTGTATATGTATTTAACCACGCCACGAACAGATAACTTTAGCGGATAAGATTCTATTCAAGGCAATCGGACCGTCCGATATTGTTCGTCGAATTCGTTTGTGTCGTGGTTGTTTAAAGTCCTTACAACCTTCTCGATATTTCAACTGTTCGTGACGTTAAATCAATAATGGTAATCGAAGAAAACGACGCGGCGCGTTCCAATAAAAGTTGAAGATAATTTACGATAAAGTAGCGAGCAAACTCGGTGTGTCCAGTATCGCCTAAAATTGCTGTTTTTACTCCTCGTTGATCCTCTTGTTCGCTTCATCGTGCTCTATTTCTGCGGCTTAATCTTTATTATCCTCGTTATCGTCTTTACGTTTCTTTTTTTCTTTTTCCCGCTCACATTACCAAACGACTTCTGCACGGTTCGTATTCTCTGTATGTATCGCAACGCCGTACGGTGTCTCATTTTTACTTTCTCTCTTGGCAATGTTGTTTCAGGTTATCAAACTCGATTCCTTGGAAGCCGTACCCGGTGCCGCTCTCATTATCCAGTTTCGAATATTTCTCGGTTACATTGCTCACCGTCCCATGATTTGATCATCGACGAACACAACGACGGATGCTCTTGGTACGTTCACTGTTGGACTCGGTAGGTCGGTCCCGGTCGCTCGCGGCACCGCTGACTTGCATTCTGGGAATTCGAGTATGCGGTCGGTCGTTTCGTGTCGTGTGGCAACGATTATGCCGGATGATGATCGTAGTCAGAGCCATGTTCACGTGTATACAACCGCCACACATGCGAGAAACTTTTATGCGTGCCGACGATCAATGCACCTCCTTCTCGTAGAACCAGTTTCTTTTCCGCTTATTCCTTTGAAAACGAAGGGCTCGATGGTGTATCACCTTTCCCTTCGAGTATGTAACAGTTTTAACAACGATCATTCGAAAGGATCGATGTACGAGCTTTCCTGCCGATTGTTCGTCGCGTCATCCTTTTCGAATCAATCTGGTTAGATTGATGGATCGTTGGCTCGATCGACACCTCGCTGAACCCGTGTCCGTTTATCTACTCCTCTTGTCAGAAATTGAAATTTCGATAAATATCATCGACGGAACGGTTACGTTTCTTTATTTACAAATCGACGTGTATCGAGCAGTCTACTCGGTCGTTTTGCAGAGAATAATTATCGAGTCACCCCTCGAACCGAGCTTCACAGAACAGTCGTGTTATCAATTAGAGTTCCGAGATCACAGTGTACGTAACGAAATTAATCTTCCCTTAATTAATGGCGTTAAGACGCATTCAGCCGTCGAGGCGGTACGAGTTTCCTGATTAAGACGACGATACGGCGTTCTTAGAAGCGACATCGAAGGAACCGAGAATGGCCAGCGTGACCGGCACGCTTTATTGAAATCTTGTACAATTAAAGCTGGTACAACAAGTGCTGTGCGCCTGGTGTCGACATCGATTCCGAGGGGTCACGATACCGCTCTATTTTATATTTTAACCCGGTTGTAAGCTGGATTTCGTTCCCGTTCCAAACGATACCCCTTAATTGTAAATACAAACCAGTAATTCGCGATAGAATCATAACTTTTAATGGAGTAATTGAAAAGCGAATAGGTACCGTTTGGAAGTGAAATTACACTGGTAATTTGAAATATCAAACCGAAGCCGTAAGATGGTGGTACCCGCATAAACGTTCAACTTTGAACGGTTTAGGAAGAAGCACTGGTTGAGAAATAGTTTTCGTTGCGAAAAATTTGCAACTTTCGAGGAAATTGGTAGGAAGTTTATCGTTACCCTTTTCGCAAGAGGATAATCAGAAAGGACGAGTAGATTGAGTAAGGCAGGTCATGGTAAAGGCGGCGAAGCGTTTTCACGCGTGTTAGAGAAGCGATCGCGAACCTTTGTCCCTCGCGTATATCTCTGTGTCGCGGCACGATATCGACGTTTCAGCGGAAATGAGAAACGCCTGGCGGTATGTTGGCCGTTTTCCTCGTTTTACCGAGAATCCGTAATTACACGGCACACACGCCACTTACAAGCGTTCTCGGTCTCCACATACCGGGTGTCAAGCGGTCGTACCGTCGCGTCGTTGGAAAAAAGAAGCCGCTGTTACGAGATTAGTCCTTAGACGGCTCGGAACGTTTTTACTTTCGTGAGATTCACAGGTGTCCCACGGACGGTAGTCGTTTCGCTTATTCGACCGAGCGGACCGCTGTAATTGTCAGCTGTCCGTTCCGTCGTGTCACCTCGCCATACCTTCCCATCCTTTGTTTATTTCCCGCTCCACTACCCACCCGACCGGTTTCCTTCGAAACATTACAATTTCTTTTCACGACACTTTTCGCCCTACTCAAGCAAAGTTTCGCATTTCATTCTACGCTCCACTTCAGCCTTTGCCGGCCAACTAGTTTTTTTCAACTTTCACAGCGGATCTTTTGAAAAATTAAATAACGTAACTTCAACATTTGACGAATGTTAGAAAACAAATCTTACAAGGGACATTACCCAATCGTCACACGCCGATTTTGATGCCCTTTGAGTATGACATACAACTCAAAAAAATATTGTGTCGCTGAAGGGTTGAAAAAAATGACAAAAATAGATTATTTTTCAAACAAATAAATTTTGTCAAATAGGTTGTTCAAAAACACACAAATTCCATTTTGAATTTTTCGCCTACACCTAATAGTTTCTGAGATATTCAAGAAAGTATGTTTTGCAACCCCAACTTTGGGGGCTATTTTCACCCCTTCAGCCTGGACGATTGCCGATAAAAAAAAAATACGTGTCAAATATTTTTTTGAGTTCTATATCATATTCAAAGGGCATCAAAATCGGCGTGTGTCGATTGGGTAATGTCCCTTATTAGAACCCCGTAAAGAATCGATCGGTAGCCGAACGGTCAAAGAAAAGGGCCAAGAGTCGAGAATTATTACCGTGCGAATGTTGCGTGTGCTCGTACGCGATATTAGGAGCATCCATATCCGAGTACGTAAAACACGGCCTCGTCGTGATAGCGTAGCGTTACGTTAATCGCATTACATCAGCTCGTTTCTAGGAAAAATTGTGGTGGAACGGTGTACGGAGAAGCAGTCGCGAAACGAACGAATCGCGCGTTTAACCGTGAGAAGACGTTCCCGCGTTGACCTCGTTTCTATTTTTTTTTTTTTTTTCTTATTCAACTTGCCAAACTCGATTAAACCACTGGCAAATCTAACCGAGCGAAAATGCTTTGAGCAAAGAGGTCGGACCTTTCTAAGGGAAATTCGATATTGAAGATCCGAGATTTATCGGTCGTATACGAAACGTGTTTATCGAACGGACACTTGTTGCTCTAGTCAGATATCGACAATTTATAGATAGCAGAAATTTTCGTTGGAATTTTAAACGAAACATAACTTCCAACCGCTGACGGGAAGTTTTACTAGGTCGAAAAGAAATTTATCGTTGCTCCGTTTCCTTGAGCCTTGAATTTATCTTTCTCGGTGCATCGGTTTCCCGTCGATTTTCCGGCTAATTACGTTGGCTAAAAGTGCAGCCCGGATTAAAGGGATTTTACGTGAATTAATCGAGGAAAGCAACGAGCCAATGAAACAATCGAACCGATATCGTAGACAAGGAAATCTACCCCGTTTTTTCTTTACCTTTTTAACCGACTTCGATAAGGAGGAGGTTACTCAATTCGATGATTATGTTTCTCTTTTTTTTCTTTTTTTTCTGTGTGTGACCAATCGGAACGAAACGTTTTGCATCTTGTAGGGTGTCTTCCAATTGGTCCCATTAAAAATATAATTTTTCATTTTTTCATTGTTATTGCAAAATACAGGAAGTTTTTAATCTCAGGTTGAAATGTATTTAGTATACTATTTAACGAGTAAATAGATTTTATTAATAGCTGTTGGATATTTGTATAAATGAAGTAGAAATTATTTCATATTTTTTAGTGCATTTCGAAGTCGATTGTATTTTTTGTTAAAAATTATTTTATTAAAGACCGATTAGGTACACAGCTGAAAACAGAAAATTAAATCTTTATTTTAAAATCGCGTTACAATCGAGAAACAGAAGCCTAGAAGAGCTAATTCATTAATTGCCAATTAAGCTTTAATCATATTCAAGAAATCGTTGAGTGTAAAGTGCTGAAGATACTTGTTCAACATATCGGTAACTACTCGATTACTGATACGAGACACTTCCTTCTGATGATCTTCGATCCATTTGGGCATCGAGTTGGTTATTTTGATTGTTGCCAACATGGATTTCTCCTCGTTATCGTATAATCCGGTGATTTTGAACTGTGTGCATTTGAAAACAGCAAACATGTCAATCGAATCGATTTTGGGTCTGTTACGTTCGAAAAATTACCAACAATACTTACAGCAAATTTGTTTAAATGAACTTGGGACGACAGAGTCGATACGGCCATTTTTCCATTCTTTACAGCCAGTTTTGTGTTCACCGTCACTTGAAGATCTCTGATGACGATTCTAAAAATGAAATGAAAACGATTCTGAAGCTAGTACGGGTTGATAAATCGATGAGAAATCGCGTTACAGAGACCTAGGGAAGGAATCGACGATACTGGCTCTTGGTAACACTGTTTTACTAACGCCAGAGAGCTACAGAACCGACTGTGAACGCGTTTCGAATCGTATACCCTGTGCCAAGGATAGCACGTTTCAACAGCTGATGCAGAGATGCTGTTGCATGCTCGTATCCCGCTTTGTTTCAGGAATTTAAATAACTTGCCGATTAATTTTCAAAGTTCAGCCACGGTGGTCCCATAGGACCAGCGCTTGTCTTTTTCATTTGGGTTATGGTGGTCATCGGTGACCACCACTAAGAAAAATGTCCTATTGGCAAGATTGTACCGTTATTTTAATATATTTCGCAGTTCTTTGCCATTATAAAATGTTTAATATGAAATTTCTGGCCCACTGGTGCAAGTTCAAAAATTCGCGTGGCAGCGAAAGGGTTAATACGAAATAATTTGCAGCAAACTGATTGCAGAAAGAGGACGAAACGGAAGCTTACCCAACGGCTCCTTTTCCCCAGAAGGGAGTATTATCGGCGGTTTTTCCTGTTACGCTGTAATTAGCGGCGATCGAGATTTGATCCCATAGAAGACTGACGTCGGCTGTGAGTTTGCTCGATGAAAAATCAGCCTTCTTTACATGATAATTGGACATACCAGCTCCGCGGACATTCGTCAATTTTCCTTTCACTCTGTTTACGAGAAATCCAAGGTAAGTTGATTTACGATTCAATTTAATTATCTTTTACAACGATATTACTCGAATGCATTTCGGTAATTAAAAAGAATCTAAAAGCGTACTGACGTGATAAGCTCATTGTTGTTTATGCTCATTTGACTTTGTGTGAAAGGATCGAGCTTCGGGACGCCGGTTTTCGAATCACCGGTTTGCATGGTGTGCTTGAATCTCTGGAGGAATCCTGCCATTTCATTGGCATACACCTCCATCTCGATGGGTACTTGAAGAGAGAAAAAAAGAAATGAACGTTCCCTTATGATTCTAGAGCTTGATATCAACACGATGGAAGATGAAGAGCTAGAACATGCTTACGATCCATGTCGACCGTGTCGGGCACGAATGCCTGACAGGAGATCAACGTAATAGCCAGTATCACCACGGAGAAGTACATTTTCTGAAAATGAAAAGGGATAGGTAAATTTTGTTGATTACACTACTGTACGCGATCGATCGACCCACTTTGACAACAAATGTTTATCGCCGAGTTTCGCGATACAGCACAAACATATCCGAAATCGCAATACGATCAATCGTGGCTAATTCTAGTTGCTGTTCAATCTCCAATTTATTGTTTGCTAATCGCATGTCGAACCGGTTCAACATCTGCTGCGTATCTCGCTCGGCACATGCGGGGGGTAGATCTCCCAAATTATTATTATTATTTATTATACGGGCATTTGCCCATTCATACATATACATAAATATACATGAATATAGAACTCGCTTCAGTTCTTTACTGAAATAATGTGCTGAGTTTAGTCTTGGTGCCGGTGGTAGTGTCATTAAAGATGTCTAAAGAAGATTGGTAAGAACTTACGACAGCACATGATAGAGCACTTATTAACATTTAAAGATATACGATTGCAATTGCACCAAGGTTCTAAGCTGTGTATGTTAAATGGATTTTCACCAACAATTTTCGTAATCCGCTTTTTTGGACTGTTAGCAATATGTCAGTCGACTGTCTGGAAATTTCGATTTACAATATCAGTGATTCTTATTTCGTAAAACGTTACAACGTGTCTCGCGGTTAATTGCGTGGAAACAGGCAGACCGAGATTGCTTTTGGCAACTTTTAGCCAGTCGAGCTGTAGTTGAAGCCCATCACAATGTTGTGAAATAAAAATTTGAAAAAACGAACCATAAAGATCCTATCACCTGCCACGATTGATCGAATAACTATTCAAAATTGTCGAGCTTCTAAGAATTGAAAAATGAAAAGTACTCACGATTTCGAACGAGAAACGCAATTACGATATTCCTTCGAACACTGTCTCTCGTTCGTGAATCGTCTCTTATATACTAGAACAGCTATCGTTCATCTGAATGGTAAGATTCTGTTATCTGTAGCAACTTATTGATCGTGTTTGATCGTGGAACCAACGAGACGAAAAATCAGTAAACAGGTACTCGAAATTACGTCGTTCTCTTTTGCACTCTTTAACGAGATAATAACTAATAACTACACGAACAGTAAATGTACACACAAGTGTACACGAGCAATAGTAGCAGAGATGCTAGAGTATGTGTGTCATGCATCGCATTTGTGTTGATGAACAGTGTTTAAGGGGTTACGCCTAGTTGGGATCGGGTAATTTTCGTAAAAGACCCAAATAAACTCCTAATCGAAATGCAATTTTATTCGCAATGGAATCTGCAATTTATCGTTTATTAAGTAAGGAAAAATCTTTTGATATTTACAAAGTTATAAGATTTAAAACACTTGATGCTCTTTATTAAACGGGTAACGGTCGATTAAGCATCCTTAGAGCTGCGGTGAACCGTTCGGTAAAGCGTTTCAACGTATGTCTTGTGGTTAATTGCGCGAAAACAAACAGACCGGGATTGTTTTTGGCAGCTTTCAGCCGGTAGAGTTGTAGCAAGTGTTTAAATTACCGTTCTATTGTACCGAAGGTATTGTACCTTCTCTGTTCTCTGAATAAATCGTGTCCGCGTTACCAGTGGACTCGAATCCTTTGAATTCTACGAAACGTAAAATTCAAAAGACGAATTTCAAAAATTTTATTACTAGTCACGATCAATCGATTACGCAACGTTCGAAGACAGCGGAATTTTCTGAGCTTTTCCATTATGATAGGATGGATATCTTTCAGGTCGATTCTAAGATGTTTTCTGGGAAACGAGTTATCGAACATGTTCGGTGAGTTATCATCCGCATCCAGTGTGAAAGTCAATTAACGAACACTCGTAATTATCTTACTCTGTAAGCTCTATAGGAGGAGGGTGATAATAACGAGTGTTGCCGTCGTCGATGACCGACGCGACGCGACGTTACGAATTTAATTCTTACCGCTTCGTTGGCGCTTTTATGCATTCAGCTATTTAACCTCTATTTATATCGATACAAAGTAAATAATTAACCGTTTTTTTTTATTTCTACAACCATCATCACGAAAATAGCTTATTGTTAGACCGGTGTGGTCGATCGTATTGGAAAATTCTTGTAGCGCATATGGTTAACACAGTCGAATAATTAAGAAAAGAACGAAGATAGGGAAGATGTAAAGGCAAGGCGTTAGATTCGAAAATAATTCGTTGATACGTACGTTTCTAGCGTGCCAGTTATCGTGCTAATTGTTACGAGAAGAAAGTTAATTACTCGTCGCAGCTGTCCGTTCGAATACCTCGTTCCGGCGCGGCGATTCCGACTTGGAAATTGAATTAAACCGCTAGCTGGACCGTGTAAAGTAACAAAACGTAGACCAGCGGTAATTGTTTAAACAGCGACGAGCGAACCGTGAATTTCCATAAATCCGAAAAGTCTGTTTTCGCTGGCCATGAAATTCGCCGGGTGTATCGATCGTCATGGCGTAAATACTCGGTTATTGGAAGGCTGAAATCGGAGCAAACGAGAACGAAGTATACGGGATGAGGTTGTAAGCCGGCAAATAAACTACGATATCGATGGGTAGTAAGTCGCGAAAGGGATATAAGGCGAGGTGGGAAAAGGAAAAGAAACAGCGAGAATATCGCGGGATGGCAGACTGCGGGACTACATAGGTAGTAAGGCACAAAAAGGAACTTCGCGAAACGAACCCTGTAAATTTCTTTGCCACCATTAGCCCTACTAACACACCCTACCACCCGTAAATAAACGGTGTCGTCGCAGACGCGAGGAAATCTACGGAAAAATTCATTTCGACGTTTCTAATAATTTTCAATTATTCTTTGCAGACAGTTCGGCAAAGATTCAAACGTTCGTGCGGAAAAGGATCTAGGATATGGAATAGAGTGACGATGATAAAATAATCGAAGACTATCCGTGAACTAGCGGTTGAAGAAGAAAAAGAAGAATAAGAAGGAAGAAAGGAAGGGAAAAGAGAAAAGCGAGAGGGAAGAAGAGACAGAAGGTGAAAGAGGGGAAGGACTAGGAGGGTGAGTGTTAGAGAAGGAGGCTGAGCGGAGAACGAGAGGGTAAGAGTGGGGTGAAAGCAAGAGGGGATGCCAGGCCAGTTCACCCTTACTAGCTACGGCTCGACTCGTCAGTGCGGCCTGAACGGTTAACCGGCCTACTTGTTTTTCGCACGGTTGTTTCCACTTACTCATTTCGTTCTTCCAAGTTGCGTCTTAGCCTTCGTCTTCGTTTTACCGATCGTTCCTAAACAGTCTGCGACCTCGTCACCGAGGATCAACAGCTCCGTAAAACTGAAAAACGATTATCGTTCGCAGAACCAAAGAGGATCGTTCAACGGTGAGAGATCTTGGTCCATCGTCCGCGTCTCGGTGTTTAACATTGCCCTCCGACTAAATTTCACCGAGTCGACGTCGATGCAGAGACGTTGAACGGAGGGATAAAACGAGGGAAGAAGAGAGACGAGGTTATCCAGCTGGACACGTCGCGATTCGCCGTTTCATCGTGGTCGTCGTCGAGCTGGACCCAGGTGCAGGAGAAGCGGCGACGGTGCACGCTCTCCCAGAGATTCGTAAGTGTTTCTTTTCGCTGTACAGTCTTGTTTGTAAAATTTTCACGATGAACGGTCGACTGACCGAGATTGCGGACAAGCTGCGTCACTTCCGGCCGGCACGGTTTTTCGAGCGGCTATTACCTCGGCGAATACGCTCGCCGCGGATAAGAGGGTAACTTGTTTCCAACAGGGCTAACGCTCGAAAGAGATCGATCCTTGCGCCACGTTTCATACGACCCGTACAAACGGTCCAGATGAAAAAAGCAATCGAAAGGATTGCTGCAGCGCGTCTCGTCCGCGTTCCCTTCGCCGACCACTAATTAAACAGAGGTATAGCAGAGGTCTTTGATGTTACTCGGGGGACAGAATCTGCACGCTCCGTTTCTCTTCTGGCCTTCTGGCCGTCTGGCGTTCGTTGCGCATCCGACCAGCGATGCTCGTGGACATTACTCTCTTGCTAAACGATCACGGTGCCGCCTGATTTTCCCGCTTATTCGTTGTAGAAAATTACCTTTTGGGAAACTTTTGGTAAGGGGAACGCGAGACTGGTTAAGCTGGCAAAGAGACGGAATCGATTCCGAGCAAAGATTAGTCGGCAATAGTCCTATTAGTCCGCGTGAATTACGAGGACAGAACTGCCGGATCGACGATAACATCACCGAGAACGGACATACTATATAGGTAGGTGGCACGGATTAATGGCAGGATAGGTCTGCCAAGTCCGGCAATAAATTTCGATAGGCTTAAGCTGGCTGGATAGAGCGGAGGATGGCTCGATACCCCTATGAAATTTCCATTTCTTCTTCTTTCTCTCTTGGTTCACCGCAGCTTTCCTGGATGTCGCGATGCACACATAGGGCGCATAGAAAGGGATGAGAACGTGGAGGGAGGAGAGCGATGAATCGCGTAGCCCTTGGAGAACGGGGTCCTTGAAAAGATTCGAATAGAAAACTTATCGATCGCACTTGACTCGTCGGATGTCTATGTGTTTTATCGTCGAGCGTATTACGCGAGCCTTCGGCGTCCGTTACGCGATTGTTTGGCCGCGTTTGCGTATCAATGGTACGAGCCGACCACGGTGAAAACGAATCGCGTGCCACCCAGAATTCGTCTCGAACGAACATTAATTTTCTTTTTTTTTCTTCTCAAACGAGTATGTATATGTAGATAGGTACATATTTGTTGTGGGTTCCACCAACAGGAGATGGCGAGCACCTGAGTCCCACACTGCCCCGGCCATCTTCCATACCAGAGGATGGTCGGCGCGTACGTAAATGTATTTTCCTCTCTGTCTAATGAAAAATAAATAAAAATAAGGTACATATTTGTTCCTATCCGAAGAAAGCAAACACTCGATACAATATCTGTAGAGTGGCTTCGAGTGGTTCGCGTTTACCTGTGCATCGAGATAAGAGCTTCGTTAACCCTTTCATCGCAAACCCGTATATGCATCCAGAAATACCATGATCCCGTGTACACTATCGATCGAAAGTTTCGCATCTTTGAAATTGTTATCGCGAAGCGAAATTCACCTGGTCGGTCTACGTTTACGAGCAAGAACTGTTCGGCATAAAAATAACTATTGTACAGAAAAGTTGCGTCGATTGATGGAAAGTAATCGCGGGGAGTATTGTTGCTCGAGCCACGGAGAAAATTGAATCTCGAATTTGGAACTTTTTCGGTTTAAAGCGAGTCGCGCGATTCGTAACATATTTAGCCGAGTGGGGAACGGCACCCAGCGTGGCAGGCTCTCGTGTCGGTGGAGGGTATTAAAAAAGAAAGAAAGAAAGAGAAAAAAAAAACACACAATGACAAGGTTATATACACGTGACAAAAGGAAAATTGACGCGTACTCGACGGCCGCGTGGAAGCTGGTTTTTTCCCGTGGGTTGGCGCGCCGAAGCTTTGTCGGATCAAGGGTCGCGTCGAAAGCTCGGGAAAGAGGAAAGGCTGGCTGGGTGCGTGTGCGTCCCTTGGTTTTCCACGACCGAACGAGAAAAGAAAGCAGCAGATGAGAGCCGGTAAAAGGACCGGGTAAGAGCAAACGTTGGACAGACACACAGGTGGCCTTTGGCTTTCGTTTCAACTCGCGCAATCGGTTGCGAGTAAAAATAGGAACCGTGACCCAACTACGCTCGATTCCACAATTATGCATTTCCTCCCGTTGTCCGACTATTTTTCACTCCTCGCCGGCGAATCAATGCGCCGTTAAGGGTGTCTGTGTGTCGCGGCCAAGTCGATCGGGAATCCGCTCTACGTGCGCTTTGGCTGAAAGTGAGATGAAATTCACGATCAGACGGATCGAGGGAAACAGGGTCGAGTCGATATTATTTTTTTCTTTCCTTCTCTTCGACGATTATCCCAGCGCCGCTATTCTTCCAACGATTCCG